ATGCACCCCCAGCTTCATACACACTACAACAGTAACCCTCTATACAAAATAATATCAACATTATCAACACAACCTAACTAAAAACTATTTTATTTTATCAGAGAGGGGCCTGGAGGCAGATAATACAGTGTACTAAGATAATAACGGATTGTGATGAATATTACCTTTCTTCGATCAACCCATGTAGCTACCGACAGCAATCGGATTCTCGAGGACGTTACAGAAGGAATTAATGTAGTCCGAGGGATCCTAATCCTCCTCGTATCCTAAGATAGCGTTTCTCTTGTCTCAAATAGTTGGACAGATGCCCAGTCAACCCGTTAGTTTCCTCTACAACATTCTCACCTAACTGCCCAGTTTCCCAATACCAATTGCATCAGATGAACCTTACCCCACAAAAGGGGGTTAAGTGTGTACTCAGACCCTTTTGTTGATCCGACCTCACAGCTATTCCATGTTGATTACAGCGTATCATCGACATCACAATATCATCACAATAATGTTAATAAAGGAGCAACTTTGTTAGAGCTACTTCTCCTTAACACCACGAAAGTTATTGAATCACGGAAATAACACACTGCGGCAGAGAATCTGATGTACATTACATGCATTGTTATCTTCAGTACAAGATGTGGTGAGATGTTGTAGTTTACACCGTCAATGACAGAGAGAATGTGTGTGGGTGTGGGTGGGTGTGTGTGTGTGTGTGTGTCAGTATAGCGACAAGCTATGTTATGATGATCAGGCTCTAGAATTGTCCACAAGTCAATCCTGTAGAGGTGTAGTAATTGTGGTGCAGTAATTGTGGTGCAGTAATTGTGGTGCAGTAATTGTGGTGCAGTAATTGTGGTGCATTTGTAGAGCAGTCCTATTGTAATATAAGAGGCACCAGTTAGGGAACCGGGCACGAGGGAGGAGGACACGAGGGAGGAGGACACGGGGCGGTACTTTCCTAAAGGGCGAAGAGGGCGAATCGCATGAATCACTTTGACATGAACAAACGGGTTTTTTGATGTCCTCAACAGTCAGGTTGAGATAAAGCTTAGTTCGAAGTATTGGATCTACTCACGAGTAAGTTTGAAACAAAAATAGTGATGTCACAAATAATCAACCAGAATTAAACGAACCAAAAATTGAGCGATTTTCCTTAAATATCTCAGCAGCAGATTTTGTGGTTTGGTAACGTGCTTATACCAATCAAACACTGCCCATGCACATGTGACAAACTTGGTCTTCAGAATATCGCAGTCGCTGACGCTACAGTTACCCAGGTTTAGATCAGGATTTGTGCGTACCAAGACGGGTATTTACTTTTGGGCAGACGAATTTCACTGAGGTGTGTTCACTTAATTTCAAACCATCAACCAGTTATTTTAGAAAAGTAACGCCCTTTTGTCCTATACCCGGCCCACCACTCACCATGACCAGTTATTCTTCTAGCAGTGCAGTTGACATGCCACCCCAGCTTTAGCCGGTAGATATACTACTCGCTGGAGGCACAGTTCTGAGTACTTATGTTTAAGTGGATATCTTATAAGAGAACATATCATATTATAAGTAGATATCATATAAGTAGATACTAGATATCATATAAGTGGATAATATTATATAAGTGGACAGTACTAGTACGAGCAATGAGCGGTTCTAGTATGAACTGACATGAAGAAACATTTTACTGACCCGTTCCGATCGTTCCGTTGTTAGATACTGGATATTCTTGAAAATATCATAGCAGTCATGTTTGACGTATTGGAGTCATTCAGAATGCAGTCATTCGTTTTCAGAGACAGTGTGGTTGAGTAAATCTATTAACACTAGATATTCAGAAGCTGAAATGTCGATTAACACTAGATATTCAGAAGTTGAACTGAAACAATAACCTCTCCTTTCAATGCTTCCAGATCTCCTAACAGTACACGGTTTAAAGGTTTAAATGTTTCCATTTTCAAACAACGCCCAGATCTCCTGCATTTGAATCTGACTTACAGATGAGGGAGTTTGGTGTGGGAAATGTGGATAAAAGAGGTGTATTGGTGGTGTCAACATGGGATTATTTATCTTGACACGTGACTGTGTTCCAGTGATTTGATTTGTCGCTGTTGGAAGCTGGTTGTTTGCCATGGTTGGCACGTGTCCGAGAAAACATGGCTCACGTAGCTCACATTCACCGCTACAGTTTAACTCTAGTCCATTCAGAACAACTCAACCAATGATCCCAATTCACATATTCTGTTCGTTTGTTCGTCCCTCCCAATACCGAGCTGAACTTATGCCTAAACATGAGAACAAAACACTGAAACTGAGCTGTAATTATGTAGCAGTAACAGTAAGTAAGTTATGTGGCGGTCAGTAAGTTATGTAGCGACAATAGTAATATTGTAACAGTTGCATTACGGACAGCTCGTGAGGAGGAGACCAGCTGAGCATTGAAACAAAAGAAGGAAAGAAGATGAGATGTGAAAAACACTGTGAACAACACTTCATGAGGCACTACATTATTGTTGTCCCGTCAGGAAACAGAGACGTGAAATAATCTGGTCCAAGGCTGAACGACATCAAAGTTATCTGGTACTCGTTATTCGTCTTTGTGTTGTTCTTTGATGATGATGGTAGCAACATCCTTTGTTGTTACCATCGGCACTACATTTGAGATGGTAACAATAAAAGTTTAGTTGGCAGCGGAGAAACTTAAGATAAAGAGTATAATATTCTGTGTCCTCATGTTACAGCTGTTCACAAACTCCCAAACTCTAGAGACATTTTCCAGAGATAGCTACCGTTCATCTGACTGGAAACTATCTGACTGGTGCAATTATAATTTACTGCCAGGAATGCTGGGAACTTTACCACCAGCACGGAACCCAACTTGAACTTAACCTGCTAGAGCTGGTTTATTTGAAGAGCTTTCTTCATTGTTAGACGGGATATCCATTAGTTCGGCTGTAGTTGCAGACCTCTAATTGGAAAGTTGACTCGAACCTGCCGGACTGTAACAGATGGCACTTCACTGGCAGTCATTACTGGAGCGTTTAGGTTAGAGGGTAGGAGGTTATTAACGTTACCGATGGTAAGTGAGCAGTACGGGTTTGATATGCCGACTACTGCATACCTAATTTACTAAACCTGTAACTCTTACAATTACTTGTGTCGAGGTTAAGTTGGGTAAAATTAGTGGACAAGTCAAAAAGATTTTCCCCGTTTTGGTCATTCAATGACCGGAAGATGAAGGCTGTAATTACTGGTTAGTGCATGTTTTTTATCGAAGGAAACCGACAAACGAACAAATAAACACACGGACACACGCATGGGCGCACTCTCTTTAACATGACATCCCCTACACATCATATTGCCAACATAGTGTACAACCAGGCCGAAAGTATCCTGCAAATAGGGAATTAGAATATTTTGCGACCGCTTGGTGTCCTTCTTGCCGCTTGAAAGATTCTGGATGTATTGTTTGATGGAACCGATCGATCTATTGTGCGGAAATTATCTTATAATTTCAAGTCACAAGTACACTGGAAAGATAGCGACAGTCGGCAGGGTCATTATCCCAAAAACACTGCCAAACATCATTATTCCATAGTTTTAACATTAAAAGTGCCTAACTCCGACCGTCGTCACAAGCTCTGCTCAATTTGTAACTACTGTTCCAGTAGTGTTACCCTTCCTGCTCACTGATTGGCTGTGGCCTCTAACACGTGTTATTTTAGCTGGCCTCTGATTGGCTGTAGCCTCTAACTATAAGTACACCCCTGGTAATTTATATCAGTGCTCAATATGTTTCAGGGTTTGAACGTTCTCTGACACGATACATTTATTTATATTAAATATATATTCATATATATTTATATAAATAAATATATAATATCCCATCTTGTACATATAAAATATAATTATTGAAGAATTTAGCTTTCGTCAAGTGAGCTAGAATTAGACAAGCTAAGTGTAAACCCGTTCGAGGTTTCGATAGGACGTCTTACTGTGAAGCACTTAGCGTACTTGGGAAGTGTAGAAAATACAGGCAGCGAACTCCCCCCCCCCCCTCTTAGCGTAAGATGAACTAGTGAACTACAACAACAAGCCCTACATATATTACAGCTTACACTCCACTCGTGTACTGTATACATGTATCCTGCTCTGGTATATAATACATTGTGTATAACAGACCTGGTTTAAATCTCCCATTTGTACATTATGTTGTAATGTTTTAGTATAGTATTATAGTATTGGAGGAGATCCCCCAGACGGGATAATATGTGCACAAGACAAAGTGATATGTATCATATGATAGTTGTCTAGAACATAGTCAGACTGTAGGAGAGAGAAAGAGAGAGAGAGAGAGAGAGAGAGAGAGAGAGAGAGAGAGAGAGAGAGAGAGAGAGAGAGAGAGAGAGAGAGAGAGAGAGAGAGAGAGAGAGAGAGAGAGAAAGAGAGAGAAAGAGAGAGAGAGAGAGAGAGAGAGAGAGAGAGGTCGATGAGAAGAGACATATTTCCGGATTATAAGCTGATAACTGTCATGAGTTGTGTCGGAATCTCTCTCGGGGGATAAAACTAAAAATAGAGACCAGCAGTATACAGAAATCAGGGTGTACGTGCAATTTACATATTTAAGTGAACAATAGTAATTAGTGTAATGATAACACCAAGTAGATTAATATTCCTATAGAAATACGTTAATACACGATGATAGTAGAGGTAGACCAGGTTGTCTAAATAGCACGTCTAGAATTGAACCATTATACAATATAGAAGGTTTCTAGAACCTGTGTATACAAGGTATATTACTTTACAATATAGAAGGTTTCTAGAACCTGTGTAATCTGTATACAAGGTATATTACTATACAATATACAAGGTTTCTAGAACCTGTGTATACAAGGTATATTACTTTACAATATACAAGGTTTCTAGAACCTGTGTATACAAGGTATATTACTATACAATATAGAAAGTTTCTAGAACCTGTGTATACAAGGTATATTACTTTAATATCTTACCGAGTCCAGGAGGGACGGTACAACCACTGGTAGGTACTGGTATCTCTTTAAATATCTGGATACGCTGAGTTAGAGACAGTGGCATAATCGTGCACGGACTGTCGTCACCCGGCTTTCCTGGGGGAGATTACAGAGTTAGACATTGTGGGGATACGGGGTGGGAAGATGCAGACATTATGGGAGGAGGGGGTGGTTGGCACAGAGCCAGAAACTCCGGAGATACCAAGTTAGACTGGATAGTGGGTTTTCTGGGGAAATATAAAGTGAAACATTTTGTTTAATTAGGGAGATGCAGAGTCAAACATTGTGGGTTTTTAGGAAGATACAGTGTCAAACATTGTGGGTTTTTGCGATATTGAGAAGGGGCCATTCGAATTAACTGATTTTTGCGGTTTTTGCGGGTAAAGTTTCTCACAAGAATTCCTACATTATTTCCGGGAAAGTATATCTACAAGGGTTTGTTGTGACATGACCATTAAATCCGATTACACATCGGAATATATTCCTTACATCAAATATTTAATTGTGATTTATAAATAATCATGACATGAGGTAGATAAATGATAATTGACGTTCTTTAATAGAGATCCGAATCTATCGATCATGTCCGACAAATGTATGATCCATTCATCTATTCCATGGAAATTTAAACCCCTAAATAACATTAACCGGAAGATAATAAATCAGACATTAACTCTTTAATTTAATAACTTAATATAATAAAGTTGAAATAAAGTTTGAACAGTACCTGGTCCAACGGACCATACGATCCGGGAACCCTCGTGAAAACCACTAAAACTCGTCACTCTCTGATCAAACAGCGACTCTATCGTCCTGATCACTGATTCGCTGTCTTTCGGCAGAATGGATATGAGCTCCACTTGGGTTTTAACAAGGATAGAGGTCGGGTCTATTATTAAAGGGTGCGAGCTCTGAAATAGTTTTTAAATAAAGTTAAAATTACTGTGAAAGCAGTTTCGGTATGCCATGATCATTTCTTTTAATATTGAGATGACACTTTAATGATAATCTAAATCATATAAATTCCTCCAATAACGGTAGATCATTGGATTGCGAAATTGAGGGTGCCGATTGGACAAGCTCGGGACATGATCAAGTAGCAATAATTATATATACCAAGAGTCAAGACACGACATTGCGTTGCTCTACAAAGATGTGATATCGGATATATATATTGTGTCGTGGTACAAAATCTCGCACCAGCCTACGAGAATATGACAAGCTCTCCCCGGCTCATTTCGCGGTATTTTCAAACCTCACCAGTAACCACAACCCAGCTCATATCGCACCACATCCACAGCTCACCGAGTGGGCACGGCTCGGACGAATATCGGTATTTCGTAACTTTCTGAATATATTAATAATCAAATGCTAATTTCGATAAATTTGAAGAGAGAGAGAGAGTCAGAGAGGGCACCAACGTTACTGATAATAAACCGCATATGTCCCTCAACACCCCCTGTTGACACACACTCCCTCTCTCCAGTGCAATGTTCCGATATGGGGAGAAGGAGACGTGAAGTGGACGAGACCTGAACAGTGGGTCTCCTTCCAACTTGTATCCCGTTATCAGACACTTAACGGGAATATATGTGAGACCTTAACATGATGTGTTAAACGTTTCCCGCAGTTGGCAGGATTCTCTCTCCCCCATCCCGGCATCTCCCTCCCTCCCTCTCCCGCGTTCCGAGGTTTAATTGCGCTCAGTTTCATGTGATCAGCCCCCCTGGGCCCGGCCACCACAGCAAGTACGGGCCAGTAAGTCACTCACTCCGCACTCAAACCAAGTATGGTTCCTGTCAACACTCAATGGCAGGAAATTTCCTTCCTCAATTGTTCTGGGAAAAATATGGAAATAGGGACGGAATGTATGGAGATTGGTGAATGGCAGGGAATTTCCTTCCGGCATAGTTCTGATTTGGAAATGGGGACAGTGTGTTACATGGCGCGGGGATTTAATCAGGTATAACAATAAAATTGCCAATTGATAAACATGGAGATAATGAGTCATAACAATAATAATGTCAACCACTTTATTGTGGTGAGATGTGAACAATGTCAGAGGACAATATGCTAAATAGATAGCTCAAACTTCGCACCTCTCTTCGTCCATGATATATATAAATATTAATGAGTTCAAGGAGCACGATCATTGGGAAAACACCACGCGAAGAGTAGAGAGACCAAGGCTAACAGATCTCTCAACTTGGGGACCGCCCTCACACAGTGAACTTTGAGGAATGAGCAGTGATATCTAGTGTGTTAACTTAGATCTCTGATTTACCTCACTTTTCTCTCCTCATTAGGCGGTGGAATGGTTTGCTGTGATGATACAATGCTGCCTTATCAATATTTCAATTGAGCCTTGTAAATAATTTATAGCGTTGAACGAGCCTGAGGCGTAGAATGGAGAAAGTTTGATTTAGGATTCAGGAATCAGGATTGGGAATCATACGTTAAGAGGCTTGGTTAAACCTAACACTTAGGCCAGTTCGTACCACTTTAAAAGACTTCTGCCTCGTAATTGATTTACATATCTCTCATGCTGTAGACGAGGAAGCTGTACGATTTGCGTTAAACCGTTAATAAAGAGTCCTCATAGAACAGAAGGAGTCATCTCAAAAATTATGGCAGGTTGGAAAATATGGAAAAAATGTCGGCTCGCGAAAACGTCGAAAATTCAAACAATTCTCGTTGTAATTCTCGATGATTTTCAGGTCCAATGATCAATGTCCATTTCAAAAATGCCGTTAGAAATTCTTGACATTCTCGTAATGTCAAAAACCAGAAATTTTTACTGTAGATAGATGTCGAGCATGTCAAATAAAGAGATAGATATTTTCCGTGCCAAAATTGCGATTGTAGCAATTCATTTCACAATTTTAATATATACCGGAAAATGAAACATTTTCTCAATGTCGACTGAAAACGATGCTCCAAGCATCTATAAAAAGATAATAATATGTTATATGTACTAACATATTGCCTTCTTAACTTCTTTCCGTTTTCGATAAATTATCGTTAGAATGAAATATTTCCGAAAAAACATTCCTTGCAAAAATACTCTACAAAAATTCACTACATTATAATTCAACTGAGAGTCCACCTCAATACATAAACCAGTCATCACCACCATCTACACCGCACGTGCAAAGTGCAAATACCAACTACACCGCACGTGCAAAGTGCAAATACCAACTACACCGCACGTGCAAAGTGCACATACCATCTACACTGCACGTGCAAAGTGCAAATACCAACTACACCGCACGTGCAAAGTGCAAATACCAACTACACCGCACGTGCAAAGTGCAAATACCAGCTACACTGCACGTGCATGCAAAGTGCACATACCCGGGACACCAATACTGAGCTCGAACAAGCCCGATGATAGCAACATTACAACTTTAAACAGGACTTGGTAAGCTACAAGCTTGCCCTTTACCGCAGGCATGTACATTCTATCTGGCCGGGTCCCTGTAATGTGTGTGGGTAGCAGCAACCCTAAAAATACAGTCCATTCCACTGCAGCTATCTCCCAGTATACACTGGGCTAGAGGTGTTACACAGTGTATTGTACACTGTTTTCTTTATTACAACATACAACATATCTCATCTAGGAGCATAGTTCGTTACAATCCTCATCAGGTTTGATCCTTCTGAATGTTCGCATAGCAGAGCTCTACATCTCCATTACAATAACCTCTTAGTGAGGGAGATGGGCGCCGTGACCATGTTGCAACATAACCCAGTGAAGCGGCCACATTATTAGAATAATTTATAGCGTAGCTAATCTGTTCCATTGACAAACCGGCACCATAGCAGCTCGTCACGTGACATCCTTTACGGGCATAAGGGCACTCCTTATTTGGGCATAACGTGTTATGACGCATTCTCCAAACTTTCAATTACAATGGAAAATTGGCGACATGGAGAGCCTTGTAGAATGGGGTCAAAACCAGCTCATAATGACCAAGAGGCAGCAGCACAGGGGCGCACATATTTGCTATTATGGGGGAGACAATGCTACAATTGATTACAAATTATGTGTGTCTTATCATTGACAGATTTGTCTGAGTTAGAGCGGCTGGAGTGGTGTTGCAGATTAGGATCTCATGGTACAAACTCTCTTCAGTTGGGCAATGTTTTTAAAGTTTGTGACGTAGCTACACACCCTGAAAAACTTGTACTTAAGTTCGCATCTTGAATCTCATTTCGTAGCTAATGACGTGGGTATTTAGTAAGTAATGCATGTTCAGCTGAAATCTCAATATCCACCTTATTTGTCACCGATAAGGAATTTAGTTAAGAGCCTACACTAGATACACCTTCATTATCACCGTCATTTTAAGCTTGTTTCCGGGACCTTTGCTCATGATATTTTGGTAATGTACTGGTACCTGGAACCGGACAAGGTCTAATAGAAAGTCCGGCCGCTCTCTCTCCTCTCTCTTTATATCTGCTTGTTGGTCAACAAACAATCACTTTACACCCCTTCATACCAGTCAAGCTTGAGCCTTTCATAGAATTACAATCAACACGGAAAAAATAATTTTTGCGGTAACAAGAATTAGTGCCATGTTTTTAAAATCAATAATAGCAGTTTTGATGCGGATCCGGGCCCGGTAATAAGGGTACGATAAGGGGCAGCCAGAGGAAATAGATCAGGGGAGAGACACCTCACTTGAGAGCTTCAGACAAAAATGAAGTCCGGTCTGCTTAGTCTCAGACTGCCCAATCGCAGGGGCAAAGTGGGAGATTGAATTTTTACATTCCATCCTTCAGGGCTGATACCCATGTTTACACAGGGTGAATTAGGAGTAAGTTAACAGAAAGTATGCAGATTCGCTTGGCGGGCGAAGCCTTTGAGAGTTAATAGGTAAAAGCGGTATTCTATTTAGATTAAATATTTATGACGGCTTCTTAAGAATCAGTGGACACAAGAAAGTATTTTAACTCTTTTAATAGCATCCTAAATTTCGAGGAGAGCTAGTTTTAAAATAACAATTACATCAGGGGTAAGTACAAGCCACCGCTAGTCCCACTAGCTCGTGTAATTAAAGAAGACTTTAAAAGTCACGAATTCTTTAAAAGAGGGTCCGGAAAACACCTCTAGCTCCTTTGAACTGAGGTCACACGCTTTGTCTTTTAGCATGCACTTTGCCGAACAGAGAGAGAAAGATCGTGAACCGCAAAGTAACTCTCGTCGTGTTAAATATATCAATTTCACAGCCAATGAGGAGGGGGCACTCGGCCCGACTTAGCACACACACAAACACAAGCAGGATCGCTCTGCACGTGCCTGGCAGTGATCCAATCGGAGAACTTGCATGGGAGCACGTGGGCAGGTTCTGACCAATGGGAGATATAAACTGGTGTCACGTGATCAACTTCTGACCAATCGCAGCTGGAATTCTTATGTAAATTTGGAGATCCTCGAGATGTGTCATGAAGTACGCTGGAAATGCAATAAAATGTCTGATGATATTAGATTTAGAATTTCATGGTGTTTGGACTGCAATTGCTTAGAAGCAACGTGAGGGAGACAGCTCGGTGATTTGGAGGGTAGAATTATGGGACGTGACGTCATTTTAACTACCTCTCTGTCTAACTATGAAATTACTTGGAAAGAGGTTCTTCAATCAGGGACTAGATCTGGATACCGCCAACACGATCATCTCTATATCTACTTACAGTATTTTGAGGACTTACACATTTAACAAGATACCAAATACCAGGGATTTCTTATGTCACGAGAACCCCTTAACACCCCTAGATATTATATATACGTTTGGGGTAGGGATGAAATTTGTCAAGATTAAGTAACATGAACTACGTACATCCTGTACTATCAGATACAGAGGAGAGACAGGAGACCACTTAAACATTTATCTAAAAATGGAATGTTAAACAACATACCTTGGATCATTATGATTATGAAACACGTCGTGTAAACGTCATGAAACACGTTCTGTACCCTGGGTATATCCCGAGACTTTGACAGGATCTTGGAGGCACGTACACAACATATACACTGGATATTAGACCTGCAAACCACAATAATAATTCCTGCTGGGCCAGCCTTGTCTCGTTTGCTAATCCCTGCCCTACCCCGTTCACTTTACTTCAAGAGTGAGTGCAGGGTAAATCTACACCGAGTGTAGAAGTGCGTGTAAAAACGAGTGTTATGTGAACATGATGCCAGCAGTGTCAAATCCGGAGAAGTTTTTGAGAGTGATGTTCAAAACCCAGGCAGCAACATTACATCTCACACACACACACACACACGCACTCGCAAACACACACACACACACACACGCAATCCTTGAGTTGCCGGTGATTTAAATTTAGTGACAGAGCTGGCAGACACAATGGACATCTGCCTCACAGACGGTACAATGTAACGAGCTCTGCTGTGCAACATCTCATCAGGAGAGGACTTGTTGCACTGTATGACACTCTCCACAATTTATAATTATCAGTATATATTGAGGGTCATAATGTGGGGCCTCCTCCTCCTCCTCCTCCTTATTGACCAATCTCAGGTATTCCTCCTCTACATTACAATTATTCCGAGCTTTTATTAGCCCTGTGTGTGTTGCAGGTAGGGACCTTTCTTGCGCATTAAATTGTGATCTATGGGAATTTGTATTATGAAAATTAAGGATGTTAAAATTCACGAAGGGGCCAGTATATATTATATAATGACACGAATTTGGGCACTGGGATCGGTAATTAAAACATTTAACTCATTATTCTGGGCCCTTCAAATGAATATATACAGCGTACAGGGTTCTGGGATCCTGTTTTATTCAAGACCGCTATTGCTTGAACGTGGAGTCAAGAGGATCATATATCCAACCTTGACATGTTGAGAAAGCGAGCTCCTTGATAATTGCACTTAACATATATAATAATAGCATATGTAAGCATAATTTATCCGCAATATGCATAACATTAATTATGATAATGCATTTGACGTCCACGCGCACGCTGATACAAAATACATTTAAACCCAGTTGGAGGATACTGGCTGTGAAACTCTGATAAAGCCGGCCCGGAGTTAAGCACGGCACGACTCTTACTTGCTCGGTCAGGTGGAGCGCAATGTCCTGCAAAACGTGGTTCCCACCTCCCGGCACCACTCGAGTCAGCGAGTTCGTGACACAGGGTCAAGACTCCAATTAGTTGCGGATACCACAAGCGAGAGGGAGGATAGAGGGAGGGAGGGAGTGTGACGACTCGGTAGAGGTACCAAGCACTGCACAGCTACATCCGCAGCTTCGTCATTTTAATTGAGTTAATAAATATAATATATACTTAGAGTCAGCAGGAGTCGACAAGACACGTTTTGGTCCGGATAATTTAGTTCAGAACAACAAGAATGTGTCGGCAGGAGTCCTTTGACAAGATTCTCTCTCTCTGAAGGAGAGCTGAGCTGCTTTTGAGCAAGCTTATTGTTTGTCAGAGATTCAGATTCCCAAAGTCCGGTCACACGCTGTTGTAAACAGCAGTGTCCGTTGAATCACTTCAAAGAGATATATTGTGTGGCAACTAAAGACGGATAAGGGCGGATCCAGGGGGTTGATGACATAATTGAAACTTATTTTTGAAAGTTTAAACTTGGTCTAGTCTTTGAGGATTTGAGTCACTTGTTACGGCTAACGTACCGGGAATTTTCTCAGCAATTTGCGGGCTAAACACAATGTAATTCAGTTACGGATAATTTAGATTATCTTAGGATTACTAATGATGGTTTTACATAAGTAGCCCAACTAACTGAGTATGTTGTATCCGGTATGTTATATCCCAACTACCCTTTTCATAAATGTTTGAGAAAATTGGAAAGGGACTCAGGATCTATAATCTATTCCAACAAACAAGCCACTGGAATGGGCTCCTGTTTGACTATACTCGGTTCTCGCGCCCTGGTCACTTGCACGAATCCTGGCCACGAATCCGGCCCACTGATCGCAACCCTGGCTGCAACTCTGGCTCCTCAAGACGAGGCCGGGAAGATACCACCTCATTAACATTTAACAATCGAACCGCCCCGTTCTTAATGAGCCGCTCCGAACTTGGAGGTGCACTAATGAGATTTTTAAGGGGCTCCAGTGAGCTGCTCACTAATTGTAATTGGAGTTTAGTAGGATCTGTAAATCGTAAAATAGATTACCAGGTCAGTTCCAACTACATAGCCATGCCCTGCCTGGGATAGGCTAATGAATTGACTGAGAGTGAGAGGTTGATAATTTAGTGAGAGGTGACCCAGTGTCAATCACCTTGTGTGTCAACAGGACACAGTGACACCCCCAACAAGGTCACAAGGACGGTCATGTGACCCATCATGTGACCGATATGTGACCAGCACGACCAATGAGTGGGAGATATGTATTAGCTGAGGAGCGCCGGGTCGGCACTCTGCCCCTCTAACCGTATCGGTTTTCCCCTCACTAACTTATCTTCGTGTCCATTAGCTCACTTGCAAAGAATCCTTAATCCGTAAATTGATTTAATGCCATGTTTGCTGTGTTTACATAGAAGTCCAAAGGGTTTGCAATGATTCTGATAAAAGGCTTATTAATATATTAAAGGGACTGAAATACAGAGAAAATAGTTGACTGCACGCCAACAGGAAGATTTAATAGTATTTGATGAGAACCGACAAACTATAAATAATGTTACTAGAGGACTGGTGCACAACTATCAACACTCCTCTCATTCACTTCACCAATCCTATAACGACATGTAATTATAGTTTCAAAACTTCAACCGGTCCCCGCGAGGGACTGGAGGTCAGTAATGGAAACAATTAGCGGTTCTGCGGACCTTTAGCCCACTAGGGCCGTGAGCTGGTCCCGACTTCCGGCAAACTTCCGGCCTAGGCACAACTTCGTGATTACATTGCCAGGTAACGGAAACTGCCCGTGGTGTAAAGCAGTCGTAGTTACAACAGTTAGCGGGTTGATTTCAGGGTATCCAGCATGTCGCCGAACACAGGGACTGAGGAGCTTGTCCAAACATTCCCACATTTCGCAACCCAAAATCAGGGGAAATAACAATTAGAAACGTCAATCTCACGGATACAAAAGTTTCACTATTTCTCAGAGCGGCTACAAACCTTTATAATAAAGTTGGTTCCCACAGGAAAGTGTTCGCTGAACACCTTCCAGATTACAGGTTCAAAAGCGTGGAACACCAACACGATGGTCTGAGAAGTGTCGGGAATTAACCCTTTCCACGGCTTTATAACCACTATTATCTCCGGCGGAGTTGAGGCGTTATACGACTCCATCTGAAAGGTGGAATGTTAGAAATCAGTTAAAATGTTGTTCTAGTATTTGATCATAACTCGGCAATTCGCTACAGGGGACTGGGGAAGGGGTCTCTTGGGGGGAAATTGTTTGATTGCACAAGATCAGTAAATAAGAGTCCAGGAGAAATAGCGAGAATCTTTGTGATCTGTTACTGTTTTATTTTCTGTTTTGTGGTGTGCGTTTATCATTCCGAGGGTAAACAATATCCTGATATAACATATTATCCCTATTCTATTTCTTAAACCTTTGACTTAAAGTAAATTACATAGTTTAATTAGAGACATGTGTTAAAATCGCACACTTGATTAGCGGCTTGTTTGATTGAACGGTAATCGTGTTATTTAAACACCTGTTGTATGAGGCTAGAACTTGATTATCTTGATTCTTGTGATATTGCAACGTGATTTTAATGATTGTTCCACCCCAAATAAAAACTTACTGGACCGATTCGATCAGGAATTCGAAAAATGCGTACTTGATACAACGGCGTACACGTTGTAGGTCAGTGTACAATAAGAGATGACAAGGTATAAGGTGACCGCGCTAGTCCCAATATCCAGTAATATCTAAATTAACGTCAAGTGCTTTAATCATGGTTTTTAAACACTCTTAATCACTCTCACATCTCCACCCCAACAAATATCTCTGATCCACTAGTACTCTATCGCGAAACAATTTACCAGGTTCTGGCCAACAGTCCACATAGTTCTAACACACGGGGACGCTGATTTGTGTTTTTAAACGATGCATGGCACCCTACTTGTGCACGTGACCCCCCACACAGCATCTTCATACATAGCACGCATAAAATCCCGTGCATATTTTATACGTCAGATCACATTAATTCATAAATTATTTTGCATTATTTGTAATGACAGGATATTGACAAGGGAAGAAGCTTCAGGGCTTGTTAACAACACATTTCCCTGTCACTTATACGCCAAACTTACTGATATATCATAAGTTATAAGTGAAGTGATGCACGGGCAACAAAAATTCCGGCGCCGATACACAAGTACTGATGTTTATAAAGCGCAACGTTGAGTGAGATACGAGAGTAGTGCTGATGTTCATAAAGCGCAACCTTGAGTGAGATACGAGAGTATTGCTGATGTTTATAAAGCGCAACGTTGAGTGAGATACGAGAGTAGTGCTGATGTTCATAAAGCGCAACGTTGAGTGAGATACGAGAGTAGTGCTGATGTTTATAAAGCGCAACATTGAGTGAGATACGAGAGTAGTGCTGATGTTTACAAAGCGCAACCTTGAGTGAGATACGAGAGTAGTGCTGATGTTTATAAAGCGCAACATTGAGTGAGATACGAGAGTAGTGCTGATGTTTATAAAGCGCAACGTTGAGTGAGATACGAGAGTAGTGCTGATGTTTATAAAGCGCAACATTGAGTGAGATACGAGAGTAGTGCTGATGTTTATAAAGCGCAACATTGAGTGAGATACGAGAGTAGTGCTGATGTTTATAAAGCGCAACGTTGAGTGAGATACGATAGTAGTGCTGATGTTTATAAAGCGCAACGTTGAGTGAGTTGTAACGAGAGTAGTGCTGATGTTTATAAAGCACAACGTTGAGTGAGATACGAGAGTAGTGCTGATATTTATAAAGCGCAACGTTGAGTGAGAATTAAGATACAAGAGTTTTGATGTTTATTGTTTATAGACGAGAGAAAAAGAGCTCAATAGCTTTAGGAAAACTATAAATTTATTAATTTAATTAATTATTGAACCAATTTATTATTCTTATCTCACGATTTTAGGAATTATATTTATAATATCATTTACCTCGTTCTCAATTTATTATTAACGTTATAAATTTATAACCTAGGCACCGCCCTCGTCAATTAACCATAATCTCTCGTGCATATGCACGTATTGGTACTGATTTATCAGTTAATGAGATATTAACTACCCTAATTGACATGGCACTTTGCCAGGGCCAAACTGAGAATTATAGGATTATAGGATTATAGGATTATAGGGCTTGCAAATGATCAACATATTATGTGATTATCTTATGGATCCAATTTGTTAACATCTTAGAAATTTTAAACGTTTCAAACTTTCTAGAATCTACACGAATTTATACTCACTAATACATAGTGAGGTATTCAGGTGCATTATAGTGAACAGCTAATTTAATGACAATAACACTCATCATTGTCCTATTTCTAACTGAGGTAGATGTTAACTGAATTATATATTTGTGTAGGTGATCGTAAGAACACAAAGTTCTTTATCACGGTACAGTGTTATCGTACATTTTAAATTGAGTTCAATGTTCATCCGATATTTACTCAATCTACAGGCTCACTTTAAGGACCACAATTTGTACATTTACAATTCATAGATAGTTAATCACAAGAAAAACTCAGCAGAAGTATCAACCTCAATAAATGTAGTCAAAACAAAAATAAATTCTCGCTAAATCACAAAATGCCTGCTTTGGGCATGTATATATTGCCCGATTTGGAAAAAATTTGTTTTGGGGAATAGCCCTTTAAATATATAACCTTCGACAATCCGTCGAGAAATGGGTGGGCACTCAACGTTTTAAAATTTAAACGGGGTCCTTAAACAGCGATATCTAACCAGTTTCGCACTGTTACCTGGTATGGTCTGCTCATGTTTAACACTGATTACACAGTCTAACAGGTATTTAACCAAAACACTGTTCACATGTCTAATTAACATGGTCACACGCACACTTAACAGCCCAACTATACTAGACTTACCTCCCCATTTCCACGTTACTCGACCAACATGCTGTACAGTAAGTGATCACTTAGCTGAACTAATGAAGGGTGGTTTTAACAGGGTATTTATCGGAAACCCTTGAAAATGGTACCGAGTTGTTTTTAGAGGCTAATCACACGCACACACACACACACACACACACACACACACACACACACACACACACACACAGCAACACACTGTATTACTCAATAATTATAAAGTGTGTGCACGCAAAATACCCCTCAATCACATCACTGCTAAAGATACGAGAATCAATACAAATGTTTCTTTATTTGACAGGCTACACTCAAGATTGTTTTAGATGTCGGACACTAAAATTCTCGCGCACACAGCTACTTGGTTAGACAGACGGACTCACACCAAATATGCGAACAGTTTTACTAAGTATGTAAGCAGTTTTACGAAGTATGCGAACAGTTTCATCCTCATAAACGCTAGATGTGAACTCTATTTGACGTCAATTGAGCATGCTTGATAATATTGTTTCTTTAGTATTGTAGGGTGAAAGTGTGCCAGGTATTAACGTAGATACATATGTGATTATTACTAGAAAATACAAACTGCACTTAAAATCAGAGCATAAGCATGTGTTGTGATGTTATATTCTTAATAAAATAATCAATTTAATCTTTTCAGCAAAATATGTATCTTTTCAGGAAATGTATCTCTAAAGCAAATGACCTATCTAATGGAACTCTTTATAATAGGCGTGGGCATTGGTCGAAACAGACATGAGTTGAAACGTGACATGAACAATAGTTAGCAAGTTTATGCCTTGTTCCACCCTTTCTGTTTATTGTACTCGCTGGTGCGGTGATGAGGCCAAGGAAACATGTGTACACGTGACAAACCCACAACCACAACCACCTCCACTCTCCCCACACACACACACACACACACACACACACACACACACACACACACACACACACACACACACACACACACACACACACACACACACACACACACACACACACACACACACACACACACACACACACACACACACACACACACACACACACACACACACACACACACACACACACACACACACACACACACACACACACACACACACACACACACACACACACACACACACACACACACACACACACACACACACACACACACACAGTGTACTCTTGACAAGTGGCAGGCTGTTGAGAATGTAGTTGTTGAACACTTGTCAGGCTTGCTATCAATACCTAACTAACAGGAGAACAACTAATAATCCTTCTCAGCACATGCTCTGTTTCTCAGTGAACAACTTCTACCTTACAATAATAACTGCCACATTCTTACATCCTTATTCGTTACTTGTTATCATCCTACTTACTAATCTATTGAATTTGATTTGTTAACACCTGATCAGTTCATTCTGAATTTATTAACACTTAATTTATTAAGTTCAATTTATTAGTACTTAATAATTATTGAGTCCTGATATATTATAGAGAACACATTTATTGCACCTTTATTAATCGAACTTTTACCTATCAAATTATCTGTGTCCGATCTATGGAACTCTCATTTATAAAACCCTTATTTAATTTTTTATTTAACTTTATTTACAGAAGCCTCGTTATTATTAGCTGAGCCCAGATTTCCGGAGCCATCTCAGCACCATTTGTTATTTATTTTACTTGGCTGTCAGTAAGTTATAAATAGAATATTCTTTTCTCCCACCCACTACTATTTTCGTCAATCCTCATGGTATGTAGTATGTACAGGGATATAATATTATTTACTACAAGTTATCGTGCGGATTGGTTAATATTAATATGGCATGTTGGTACTTGGTAGGAATGTGACATGGATACTGGATAGTAGATCATGGTTAAGGGTTTGTGTATAGAATTACAGACGGCAGTCATTTTCAACGGAGTAATTCGGCGAAACACTGTAATATTAGCCCTATTATAGGTAGGATCCCACCAGCATCAACCAATTAGGGCAATTACCATCTCTTTTCAATTCATGATATCAGCACTCATTAACTTTCTATCAAAACACATCAAATCACGTCGGAATACAGTTGGTAATAGAGTATTCGCAATGACACGAAAATGCTCACTCCAATTGGGTAAATCACGTCACGTGACAGATTTACACCACACTGATTGGATACAGTGTCACGTGATAGCCCACGTGCCACGCGATAGCCCACGTGACAGGTAACAGATCATTTGCCACTGGCAGCGAGTAGTTCCAGGTACAAAAGATATCAGATACAACTCAACTAAGGACAAGTTGGTGGGGGAGCGCGGGAATGCGTTGTATCGGGTAACCTGGGGTCACTCCGAGTCAGTGTACACGCTCCGTATCAAGTCCAGTAATTAATAAGGAAGAAGAGGGGGCTTGTTACCAAGGGTTTCATCAACAAGGTGGGAAAGGGATTGGGGAAATATTCATTATATACCCAAAGTTTAATGTGATAAGGTTGGGATTGTAGATAAAATATAAAGTTGGGGAGTTTGAAAACAGGTTGTTACTCTGCTGTTACTTACGCGATCGAGATCTGTTTCCAGTATGTGAATCTGATGAGAATTGGGTTCGACTCCGCCATTGCTCTCGCAAGCATAGGGCGGCAGCTGCGTTATTGATAGACAGTTCACATACTGTGACGATGTGCTCTCGTCGTACGAGCACAGATCTGATTGACTTAAAACTATGTACCCTGAAAAATGGGCAGTTTTAAAAGTATGTGTTAAACTTGTTTAAAAAGCTGGTAAATGTGTGCAAAGTATGCTGGTGATCGGGTGATATGTGTTTGTAATTTAACTATGTGCACTCTGAAATCTGGATCATGGTTTAATTAATTTTCCGTGTGAGTGATATCGGAGGAATGTCAGTGATATCGGAGGAATGATCGCGAAAACGCTTCCTGCAGAATAGCTGGTAATCGGCATGTCATGGAGATTGATAAGTTCAGTTTGAAGAGATAGTAGCTCAAAAATAATTGACAATGGCCACGTGATCGCGAGAAAGTTTACTCAAGTGGGATTGTGTTGCAATCTTAACATTAATGAGATAATGAGCGTCTGAAAGTTGTAACTTTGATCATCAAGACTCAACCTATATTTATCATTGACGAAAGTTTTGTAAAAAGTAGCTCCGAGTTTTTAAAGGGACAGAAATACGCGTAGGGCGGGGTACATATTAAATATTTACTCAAAGACAAGTTTTAACAGAGTATTACTCAAGGGATTTGGGCGGTCACATGCCCCTGATTACTGGAAGCTGCTGAGAACGTCTGGAGCTGAGTTCAGCCAGTTACGAGCTATAACTATAATTAACTTGGTGTTTTTTACTACAATATACATACGATCATTTTCCATTGCGAGATGAACGGTAGATGAGTATATTGAAGAAGCCCAGCCGTTACACTTCATTATTCAGTTTGCGCATGTGATACAACTATTATATAAGTTCACCATATGAACTGATTTTTCTTTTCCTTTGCACAGTTTGCACCATTTCAAGCTCTTTTGACGCACCGCAATAATGAAGAGGGTTCGAGTTGCAATTGTAATCTAATTTGAGAGTAGGGGAAATAACAGTGTCTGTTAAACGGGTCTTCTTATGTCTGAAATTTTTCCAGACTTTTAACAAAATATATAACAACCATCTTGGATGACGAGGACGGGGTTTTAAAATTTGAGAGATCAATAATGTTGCATCATATTTGTAAATAAAGACTACAAGGCAGTGTATAATAAGGGGTGTATTACAGGATATTGCCGTGATGGGTCTGATGCTGCTGACCACCAGTGTTTATTGTATAGAGAGCCGCAGGAAAAGCTCTGAGCAAGATAGATATCACGTGATATCTCACTACTTCCTGCATGAGTTAAATGGCTGTGTCTGATTGGAGGGGCTGTGGTCACGTGACAGGACTGATGTGCACTATTGGCTAGCTTGGCGTCTGGTGAGGAGCAGCTCGAAACACTGGGCCAGGAAACTCGTAGTAATTACTGAGTTTTGGGGCATCCTGAAGCAGGTCACGTGGTTTACTGGAGCAGTGAGCAGGAGAGGTTGCTGGTTAATGCACTGTACGCTCTTATACAATCTCAACTACTGCTGAGCTGGTATGACACGATGAGTTGATATGAAACATGTTTCCTATAAAGTATTGTGAAGGTATGCAAATCTAAGTACTTTGAAAAACGAATCATTTAAGTGTGAAACCATGTAAAAATATATTTCATTTCTCCATTAAAGTGATTAAAATTACCTGTTAAAATAAGAATGTAGAGAAGCAAATGAATTGTATCCATTGAGTAATATTACCACATAGCCATACCCTTCATACCTGTAAAACAATGATTTGTAAGTAAAGATGTGTTTTTCACAACACAAAAATAAAAAGGTTTAGTTTTCAACCAATACAATATCGAATATGCTGATGTCAAATTTACACAAAGTAAAGTAAAATACTAACAATTGACGCAGGTTAAGGATAAACAACGAACAGAGAAAGAGAACATTGTAACATAACAATGAAGTTTTATTTGTTAGTATGAGATATGTTCGTAACAATGTTCAATAACTGACTTGCTGTGGTCAAATTGTCGAAATGCCGTGAGACTTGATCTAAAGTTTAAATTAAATAGCTCATGGATTAAATATTAAGGCTAAATTCCTAAAATTGAATAAAATCATATTTCAACTAGGCTCTGAGCAAATCAGTTTGTATGAAATTAAAAGAATTATCTCTTTTAGCCTGCTATGTTCTTGATACATATAAATTAGAGAGAGACGAATCAGAAGCTCTAGCCAAGTATGGAGGTAAGCTTTCAACAAACTCTTTGGATGCACCTCTGGACCATTGCTAGTATATATTTTACAAAATAACAGATACATTGGCTATAGTTTATGTTTCCTGATTAAAATTAAATGTGGCCAGAACCCAAAAGAATTTTGTTTATTTACAGAAGGAAAGGTAAAATTCATTGTGCCTTGGTCTGTTAAGTAATAAAGGAACACAAACATTTTCCGAAAAATTATCAGGCCTAACAACCAAGAAATAGAGTCCTTTTTTTTGCTAAGATTATGTTTGCTAAGATTATGTTTGCGTTTCATTGCTCAACAGCTGTTCGAAGGATCAAATATAAGAAATAGAGTCCTAAGAGAAAATGGCAAATTGGGCAGCACCATTAAAAGACCAGGAGCTGAGGGGAGTTTGGCTTTTCAACAGATTACTGGAGATGATGAATTAAAAGTCCCAAACAAACTTTTATAAATTTCATGGTTAATGAATAATGGGTACCAACTACCAGGTTCATTGATCAGTCATGCCAATCCTTTGCCTAAAAATGGCAGACAATACATGGGCCGGGTGTAATGTCGATATAGATGTAAAATATCGAAATAAACAATTTATTTTGCTAATTTGTTTTACTCTAGTGGCCTGAATACAGAAAAATATTTGAGGAACAATTTTGTGACATGGGCTGCATGACAAACTTAGCTTGATTTTTTATCTGTATTTTCACACCTTCCTGAATCTGCTCAAGCTATTGGAGCTGAATCAGATATTTTAAACCTGCCTCTCATATGGGATTTTTATGAAGACTCGACTCTTCACTTCAACATGTTATGATTGTGGTAAGATTCAGTGTGCTTGAGGTACTCATCGAGCATGAATTTTCTCATTAGATTGTCTGTGCAGTAGACTGGTTAGAGCATTGTTGGGTGCCTGGAAACTCTCGTGGTATAGACCCCAACAGTCAACAGTCACCTTTTCAAAGAAACCTAGACCAGTCTGTAATGGTGATTAATCATATCTCTCTTGATGTTACATACAATCAATTCGGATCTGATTGGTATGTTGATGCAAGAAATTTAATATGAATATAAGCTATTTATTTATTTAATAAGTTACATTAGAGTGAACTGAAAAGTCTATTGAATAATAAATTATGTATGAGTGCTAAGATTTGAAGGGTGTCCTTACAAGATTTAGAATCTTTTCGCCCACGATTACGGTTCCCAATATTTCGGCTAAGTCAACCGTGGGTGAGTAGAAAGATTGGCTCGCCACTTTATGATGTTCGAGTAAAGACACTAAAAAGAGATTAATATCGTATACCCTCAGAACTAGGTAACATGATTTAGTTATAACGTGCAGGATGATGTTACAGCAAGTAAACTGATTAATTATCAACAACACTCGGGGAAAGAAGCAAAATGTGATGCACTGTAAAGATTTGATTAGAAACTTTCGAATATTAATCACGATAAGCAACAAGTTATCATCAACAATCAAAACAGATGGGTCAAATCAGAATATGGCCCATTTAAGCATGTGTTGTTCACTGGAGAACTTTGGAAAATAAGGTTCAAATATATTTATAACCAAAAAGTGTCCATAATGATTTCAGACTAAGCTTGAAGTATATTTTATGGAACGGTATTGAAGGATGATAGGTGCCGGATTATGTAAGCTCGTTGATGACACTGTGACACCAGATCTTGTTTACGCAAAGGAAGAACTATCCACCATATTGAACAACGTTCAACCATGTCCGTGGCAATTGGACACACCGTCACAACCTGCTACACCCAATCAAGCAAGCGTGATGTAAACTGTGTGCTGACTAGGAAATGAAGGTATTAACTTTGAAAGAAACATCCAGGTGTAAAAGCTGTTATCGATGTATACATAATCAATAACCACTCAATAAGTAAAAAAACTTTGTTCAGCTAAACCATTCAATCAATTCATTGGATGCAAAATAAATTTATGATAAGTCTGAAACCGTAACATTAGATAGATAAGACTCTTTCAAAAAATGAATCAATATGTCATTTGTATTTGTCTTATAGATAGACATTTTGCTCAACTAAGAATCTTACCGGAGGACCCCAGGCTATTATGTTCATAAACATAGCCTGGCGTATTTGAACCCTTTCAAATGCACAAATGGGCGCGTTTTTTATTTAACAATCCAATAATCAGATTTTACTATCTAACTCAGCACGCGGCTCTTGAACGTCATTTTTTCCACTTGGTAGTAACCGGGTGCACATGTTTTGTTCTAAAGCCGCAATTGATTATAAATGATTACGTGAATGCATGGTGGTCACTTACCTGGGGACCCAGGATATTATGTTCATAAACATAGCCTGGCGTAATTGAACCCTCTAAAACGCGCAAGTAGGCACGTTTATGCAATTTTACAATCAATAAATCAGAATCAATGACAGGCTGAGCGCTGCCCACTAACTAAAAATTGCACTGACGAAGTAAAGGATGATGGATGAAGCGCAGTGTGATTCGATAAAGCAACAAGCAAAGTTTTACATATATTTTGGGAAACGTTGCCGCTTTGAAGCACCACGCGCATTATCATATATTTGCTTCACATTTAACTAACGGGTGGATCGTAATTAATATTTGTTCCAAATAATAGAAACCGTCGACGAGTCCAACTTGGCGCGTGTTTTGGTAGATTATAAATTTACAACATTGAATATAGTAGCGCCATTGTTGACGGATGTTACTCGTCTAAATTTCTTCGAAGTAGCGCGCGCCGCTTTCTTCTCGAAGTAGCGCGCGCCGGGCCAGACCATTAACAATGGTCAACGCCATTGCGGATACGTGCGCGCTACTTGCTACTGCAAAAACAAAACACAAATGTGAAGTAACGCCAAATATTTACAATTGCTATTGTGCGCTATAGAGAAATTGAAGTTTTATTTCAGTACTCGATTTTTAATTTTTTTGCAAGGGCCCATGACAGTTAAAACCAATATTTGACATTAATCGATGTATTTTTAAACGTTGATTCCAAATTACCCCTTGTCCATTGTAAATTAAATGAACTGACCCTTTGCGCTACTTCAAAGCTTCGTGCCTTTTGAGAAGAAAAAAGTGCGCGCTACTACATACTAATTTGAACAAGTATCATTCCTTCAAAATCACCTCACATGACATTGGGTGTTAAAATGCTCCCAGCCACCAGCGCGAGATATCGGTATGTGTCACACTGTCTCGATCACGTGATATGACCATATAACGAAGTTGGTTCAATTTCTTGTTAGGGTTAGTATATATTAGGGTTAGTAGTTAGTTAGTTTGTTGACAACAGTGATTTCTCTCCGTGGAGACAGAGGTGCGAGAAAAAACATTGTTGATATAAACAATCTAGATCTTAACTTGGAGCCACAAGGCCAAGGGTAATTTTTAATTGTTAAGGGAATTTTTTGAATTCTTAAAGGGTTGATTTTATATAGGGTCATTGCTATATTATGTGTATATTGTTTGAATAATTTTATAATTTTAAAAAAGTTTGTTGATATAAACAGTTTACATTTGAATTTGGAGCCACAAGGCAAAGGTTGATATTCAAATTTTTCTCCCAATATTTGAGATATACTCTAGTAGCAGGGCATAGTTGAGTGTGCACTTCGATGTATACGATTTCTTACAACACAGGGTTGTTTGTTAGGTCATTCTTAACCAGAATCGTTTAGGTGGACAATTTGTTTCGCTAGAGACAACCCTACAGGGCAAATTTTCTAAATTACCCTCAGTCGCGTATACGGGATTTTCGTATTTCGGCTCCTGAAGGTCATAGAGACTTCATTTTTGGCGTAAAATTACCGCAGTGGCCACATTAATATACAACTTATTAATGAATGTATGGTCTAAAATTGTTTGTTCCCGAGATATCTGCAAAAAACTAATTTAAGCTCAGGCGTAGGCACAAATTTCATTAAATTTGTATCTCAGCTTCTGAAGGTCTTAGAGACTCAAACTTTGGCTTAAAATGACTGCAATGCACATGTTTATATTGACACTATAAAGGTCATAAAGGTCCAAAATGCTTGCTTTTGGAAAAAATCCAGGAAAACTGATTTTCACTGGGGCGAGTGAAAAAAATCTACTCTAGAAGCTAATTGAAATCGAGTGTGCAGTTTGGTGTCTACAAATTTTCTAGAAACCAGGTCCTTTGTAAGGTCATTCTGGATCAGAATTGATAAGGTACGCAATTTCTATCAGTAGTTCCAACCCTAGGGGGGAAATTTCTAAATTACCCTCAGGCGCAAATATATGACTTTTGTATCTCGGCTTCAGAACGTTGTAGGGGCCTCTCTTTTAGCTCAAACTAACTGCAAAAGCCACATTTACATACAATCAATAAAGCAACATAGAGTTTATAGTGCTTAGCTTTGGAGATATTCACTAAAAACTGTTTTAACTTTCGTGCATCCTATAATAGTAAGTGATTAGTAACATCAATCATGTAATTAATTTTGGTATCCTGGGCTAAAAAAGTCTTACAGACACTTTAGGTACTTGCAGAACAGCAAAATGTTCAGCATGAACACATTCAGATAATATTTATGGAGCAACACAATTCAGTTTCAGAAGCTCCTTCCAGCTATCTTATCTTATCCCCAAATGTATACATCTAACCATGTCTCTGGCTACTTCAAACCACTTCAATCCCCAAATTTATACATGAACATCTAACTATCTCGTTATAGCTACTACAAGTTGGGCTCTCTCCAGTACTGTTTGACTATTATGGCTAATCAACTTCAACCCCACCTCATGAAGTAGAATCTACTTCTAGCTACCTTTAATTCTGCTACCTCCATGCCATGCCTATTCTACCCAGCTACCACCATCACGTTATAATTTTAGCTCTTTCTAGCAACCTCTAAATGCTACCTCCTGCTCTATACAGGTACCACCAGTGGGCAGAAACCACCAATTCCAGCTCTTTTCACCTACTTCGGCTACATCTATTTAGCTACTACTGCAAGGCCCCCTGGCCCCTCCAAACTCTGTTCTTTCTAGCAAACTAAACTTTAGCTACCTCTTACCTTTTATAGCACCGCCAGCAACAATTTATTGATGGCTCTTTCCGGCTGCCTCAGCTGCATTCAACAATTTCCAGCTCATTGAGGAAGAGGAAACCTGCTATTTGCTGGATAGGACTAGAATTTGCAGGTGCTAGTGGTAGCTTAACACCAATAAGTGGATGTTGGTGGAAGCTAGATAGAGCAGGAAGTAGCATTCAGAGATTGCTAGAAGGAGGTAGAGTGGAGGTAGCAGAATTGAAGGAAACTAAAAGTAGATTCTACTACATGAGGTTGGATTGGAGTTGATTAGCCATAATAGTCAAACAGTACTGGAGAGAGCCCAACTTGTGGTAAGACCGGGATCCCGGCTTAATCCCGATCCCTAATCCCGGTCTTAATCCCGGTCCTGGCACTTTTTCCCAGTCCCAGTCCCGGCCAAACAAGCGGTTAATTACCTGTTTGATGTTACTATTTTAGGATGCACGAAAGTTAAAACAGTTTTTAATGAATATCTCCAAAGATAAGCACCATAAACCCTATGTTGCTTTATTGCTTGTATGTAAATTATGTGGCTTTTGCAGTTAGTTTGAGCTAAAAGAGAGGCCCCTACAACGTTCTGAAGCCGAGATACAAAAGTCATATATTTGCGCCTGAGGGTAATTTAGAAATTTCCCCCCTAGGGTTGGAACTACTGATAGAAATTGCGTACCTTATCAATTCTGATCCAGAATGACCTTACAAAGGACCTGGTTTCTAGAAAATTTGTAGACACCAAACTGCATACTCGATTTCAATTAGTAGATTTTTTTCACTCGCCCTGGCAGTGAAAATCAGTTTTTCTGGATTTTTTCCAAAAGCAAGCATTTTGGACCTTTATGACCTTTATAGTGTCAATATAAACATGTGCATTGCGGTCATTTTAAGCCAAAGTTTGAGTCTCTAAGACCTTCAGAAGCTGAGATACAAATTTAATGAAATTTGTGCCTACGTCTGAGCTTAAATTAGTTTTTTGCAGATATCTCGGGAACAAACAATTTTAGACCATACATTCATTAATAAGTTGTATATTAATGTGGCCACTGCGGTAATTTTACGCCAAAAATGAAGTCTCTATGACCTTCAGGAGCCGAAATACGAAAATCCCGTATACGCGACTGAGGGTAATTTAGAAAATTTGCCCTGTAGGGTTGTCTCTAGCGAAACAAATTGTCCACCTAAACGATTCTGGTTTAGAATGACCTAACAAACAACCCTGTGTTGTAAGAAATCGTATACATCGAAGTGCACACTCAACTATGCCCTGCTACTAGAGTAATAGGGAATATATTGATTTTTTGAAGGGTTGTTTTTATATAGGGTCATTGTGACAATTATGTGTATATTTTTTTAATAATTTTAATTATTAGGGTTAGTATAAGGATACTGGTTATTGTTGAATTTTTAAAATTGACTGCAATAGGTGCATGGATCAAACTAGAATCACAAAGCAGATGCATAATCCTATAGATATCAAAATGTCATAGATTCTGAATTAAGTTTGTTGAACAAGATTTGTATCAGGAGTAGATAAGATCAGCCTTAAGAAAGGCCAAAGGTACTGTGATGTGATGTAATTTGCCTTACACAGACTCTACTCAGAACTTGTATAATTCCCAGGGGTAACAGGAGGTTACAGAGGTGCTAAAACTCTTCCATCCACGCACCACGGCAATAAGCGATTTGGACCTGAATCTGATCAACACTCCAAGAATAGATCATAAAAGGCCGGGAAGTGTTTCATGGGCTAGGGTCTGAACTGCAAGTTACTGGGCGGCGCTCAGCCTGTCATTCCGCCTTATCTCTATTCTATGTTTATGAACATTATAGCCTGGTGTCCCCAGGTAAAACTGCAAGTTGTTTTGATATGAATTTATGGAATTTTATTTTTAGTTGACCATTTTATAAGTTACTAAGGGTTTTATTTTCTGGTTTTTAAAATGTTTACCGTTTTTGTTTATTTCAATGAAACATTAAATTTCAATGAAACAAGAAATTTAATTTTAGCACATTTTTACAGAATAAAAAGATGTAAAACAATTCATAAAATATAATGCCCATTTGGTGTATGACTTTTTGTCCTTGACTGCTTGTTTGGTTTTGGAAGGACAGGTAACTAACGGGGCAAGGAATGCACGTGCCTGGAAGCTTTTGCACACACCGAAACGCTAGTTCAGTTAAGTTTATAGAGACTAGGCTCAGATTAGGACTAGAAAAATTGTTAGCAGACATTAGGGATTCTGTTTATAGTTGTTATTATAGGTTGCAGTCTTGTTGTGACAAAAAGTCTACACTAAAACATGTTTTAGTTTGTATTGTGTAGTTCGAGGATATAAAATGCAGCTTCAAGGTGATTTTAAAATAATTTTGTTAAAACTTTCTCACACATACTTTACTCACAGGACAAGACTTGGAAAACAGTAGCTAGCCTAGGGTAATTTTAATTGAGATGTGTGTGACCAGCCAGTTATAATGTTTGGGAAATAAGATAGGCGCAGTCAAAATCTTTGACGGTCCAATCAAGCAGGGCGTGATTGTGTTGATTAGTTAATAGCACACGTTTTAGCTTACCTCGCAAGCATTTATTAATTTATTGACAGAAGTTTACTTTTAGGTGTCTAACCGTATAGTTAATCATTGTAGCATGGATGAAGATGACGACAACACTCTAGAATTTGAAAATGGAAAAGTTGTAGCGGGTTCCATTAATGACTTAATTGGGTGAGTTTTTTAAAAGGTTTTGAAATAATCATGTAATTATAAAGAGGGTGAGTTTTATAAGTTACTCTGTAAAGTCAGGCCATATAGAAGATGTCAGAAATTTGACAAATCTATTTTGAATTTAGTAGATGTTTGCAAATGATAGCTGTCCACTCTGAACTTTAGAGTAACATTTGACTGTCTCTACCTTAATGCATGTCATATTTTGTTCTCACCCTTTCATTTGCTCTGAACAAAGTTTGATCATTTGTTGGCCCACTTCCACAAACATTTAAACATTACTTAGTTGAACATTGAGTAAATACAGATCTGCTGATTAACATATTAATTAAGACAATAATCTCTCTAATCACTATTCCAGGCACCTGACACCAACATCGGAGTATTATCCTACTGAAGATTACCTGTTTGCGTTTATTTCAGCTTGCAGATTGTTTGTTGATCCAATAGACGTCCTAAAGCAGGTATTTCAGCCTAAGTTGATAGGAAGCTCAGCCTATATTGAGAATTGTATACATAACAGTCTTATGACATTGAACGAATTTATTTATTGCGAATTTAAAGGATTGCTAGTATTTTATGTATTTGTTTTCACTTCTGCACGTTTAGGCAGTTGCTCTTGTGACCAGACTTTTAGAGTTATATATATATATACATATATATATATCAAATTATATCTCAGGCTCACATATATATATATATGTGAGCCTGAGATATAATTTGAATCTATTCAAATTTAATGTAATCAGCACTTATATATCTATTACAGGTGGTGGAAAGGTGTCAAATTGAACAGTCAAATCCAGATCTTCCTGACACTGCGACTGTGAGTTACAATTTGTCCAATTTTCTTATTAGTTATCATTAGGAGCTTTAAAGATACACATTTCATCCCGGATAGATCGCATTTATTTTTAGACTTAAAAAACATGAAACAAGAAAAGTAGTCGAATAATTTGTCAAATTTCATCTAATTTTCAGGTTGCTCCTCATCTACTTTTATTTATTCTACAATGGACCGAAACTTTTCCCAACGACTTCAACCGTCCTACTCTCATGGAGAAACTACACGAAGCAAGACGTTTCTGTCAGAATTTAGACCCCAGCTGTTCTAGGGGATGTAACAGATTAATACAGATGTTGGATAACAGGCTTACTGATGTCAAAACTAAAAAGAAGGTTCCCAAATCAGAGTCATGGGAGGATGTTAATTTGGTGAGTCTTATCCCAAATTTTTTTCCGCTAAAGTTTTGTTGCAAAACGTGTTTTTGTTTCTGAGCCCTCCTTCAAGGATTTCCTCGACATTTTAAATCTTTACAACTACTAATCCTCTGAGCATATAACGTGATATTTACTGCTGACTGATTCAGGTAAGAGATATAAAGCCGGAGCTGATAGCAGCACAACTTACACACATAGAGCTAGATTTTCTCAACAACATCTCTTGTGATGAGATGATCTCAATGTTGGGTAAAGATGTGGCTAAAGACAGTCTCTGTCAAAACGTCAACAAATATGTTAATTGGTAAGTCGATACGAACTGGGATCTGAGTACTTACTAGTGCTTCTCTTCCGACTCAATTGAGCTCAATTCGGATATTGTTTTATCAAGTAACATGTCGTTTGACATATATCTTTGAACGTTTGGTGCCAGCACAAAAACCAATCATTAACTCTTAAATTTGCACTGTGTGTTATAACCGCCCTATGTTGCAGGTTCAACCACTTGTCCCACTTTACAGCATCAGCTGTGTTAGCACCGGAGCTTGGTGGAGCTAGGAACATCACCATGGAGTATTACATGGACGTGGCTGTGTGTTGTTTTAGTGTTGGCAATTTTAACTCTGCTATGTCTGTACTAGCGGGTCTTAATCAGGTGAGTATTGAGATGAAGTTATGATGTGACTTACAGTGACTTAGTCTTAATTATACAGAATATCTCTCGCATTAGTACTATTAATTCTTCTTTTTTCCTTTAACAGAGAATTCTAGTTAATTCTGGGCCACCCTGTGCTTTACAAAAATTTTAGTCTCGGACTGTTAATTTTCATAAACTGCTGTTTCTAAGATTTCCCTCAATACAAGTTTATTCGTGAGTATCGCAGTCTAACCAATAACCATTCCATACTTTCAGAGCTCTATAACTCGACTACATAAACTACGGGAAAAGTTAGACAAGAACAAAGTTGAGCACCTTTCAAACTTAGAACGACAAATGAGTCCCTCTGAGAACTTCAAAACCTACCGAACAGCTATGAAGAACGCCGAGAAACAACACACTTGTGTCATACCTTTCTTTACTTTACTGGTAAAGGATATTCACACTACATGCGAGATTAAGAAAACCAGGGTACGTTTCTTTAAAGGTTTTATGAATTTTTAAATTCAACAGTTTAAGTAAACAAAACGTTAAAGTATAGCTCATGTCATGATGCTTCATTTCTTTCGTTGGTATTTTCAAGCTAATCATGAATGTAAAAATGGTAATAGTTCCGTTTATCTGTAGGTAGAAGGTACGGAGCTGATAAACTTTGAGAAGTGTTGGGAGTTATCCCGTCATCTGATAGAATTCCAGAAATACCAATCTGGTGTATGTGACTTACAGTCTGATGGTAACATTCAGGTTAGTCAGTTATTTGAAACATAGATTAGCCAATCTAGATTATTTATGAGTCGTGTTGGATATGGTTTACAACCCTTAATTTAATTTAAAATATTTGATGTCTGCATTTTATTTGTAAACAACATAATTTACATAGTTATAGTTCCTTCAATTCATATCAACCATTATATTGCCTGCTATAAAGCTGATAACACTATTTCAATGTTAGCTCACTTTGAATACTGGGGTTACTCATGATACCAGACAGCTGTAATTGGGCCACCTAGTTTACAAAATCATAATATCTTCCTTCACAATTAATAGTGAAAGACTACCTCAGCAGTTTGTTGCTAAGCAGTTTGATGTAATAACTACTTTCAAAATGTACTTAAAATATGTAATATCAAAAGTTCTGTTATCGCAGTGAAGACTTTAAACTTTAAAATGCATCTTTGAGAGGCGCTACTGTATTCCTTGTAAAGTTTCACAATGTAGTGTATATTTTAGATTGTACAATGTATTTCTAATCTATAGTGCAGTGTGTATAGTGGTAGGTACCTATTTCCCACATGTGTACAATGTACATCATTTGTCTTAATTATATACCTATTAGTAATGTGAACAGTAACTACATTCCACCAGGATGCTAACAATCGTGTCATCTGTCCCACTATAATGATAATTATTCAACTACGTGTTTTCTTTCATGGGAGAGTTTTAATATTAATTTGTAAGTTCACGTTGCGTAAATAATAAAGCCAACAAACAATAATTTTTGTCTAACATCCCACCTCAACTCAAGACTCTACATCACTTGTCAGAACAAGCAGGAACCTTAAATTAGCGTATAAAACTAACGTCCCCCCTCCTCCCCCAGGAAGATATACTGTTAGCTTAGATCTTTAAAACTAACGTCCCCCTCCTCCTCCCCCAGGAAGATATACTGTTAGCTAAGATCTTTAAAACTAACGTCCCCCTCCTCCCCCAGGAAGATATACTGTTAGCTAAGATCTTTAAAACTAACGTCCCCCTCCCCCCAGGAAGATATACTGTTAGCTTAGATCTTTAAAACTAACGTCCCCCTCCTCCCCCAGGAAGATATACTGTTAGCTAAGATCTTTAAAACTAACGTCCCCCTCCCCCCAGGAAGATATACTGTTAGCTTAGATCTTTAAAACTAACGTCCCCCTCCTCCCCCAGGAAGATATACTGTTAGCTAAGATCTTTAAAACTAACGTCCCCCTCCCCCCAGGAAGATATACTGTTAGCTAAGATCTTTAAAACTAACGTCCCCCTCCTCCCCCAGGAAGATATACTGTTAGCTAAGATCTTTAAAACTAACGTCCCCCTCCCCCCAGGAAGATATACTGTTAGCTTAGATCTTTAAAACTAACGTCCCCCTCCTCCCCCAGGAAGATATACTGTTAGCTAAGATCTTTAAAACTAACGTCCCCCTCCTCCCCCAGGAAGATATACTGTTAGCTAAGATCTTTAAAACTAACGTCCCCCTCCCCCCAGGAAGATATACTGTTAGCTAAGATCTTTAAAACTAACGTCCCCCTCCTCCTCCCCAGGAAGATATACTGTTGCGCAGCCCTGGCTGCTTGGCTGATCGTCTAGGGGTCTAGGTGTTTGCTAATTTATTTAATTCCATTATTAGGTAATGTTTCGTCATGAGTTTGTTGTTACGAGCTGGTCTATAAATTGATTCTACATGAACGACACTCAAGAGTGAGCCGATGAAACTCTAAAATATCTCTGTTGTGACCTGAGTACAAAGTAAATGGCCCTGTCCAAATGCTCCACTACAAGAATATTTCACGAGTATTTGACGATTCATAGCTATGAACCTATTAATTCACTAGTTCGTGTAGAGAATTTAACGGGAGTAAAATTGGAATCATTAGATCAGAACAACTAATAGGCTTTAAATTTTGAGGTTTGCAAAGAATCAATAGTGAAAGTAGTCATGTACAGAAATCCAAAGATATCTTTTCTAATCTTCTATTTCGACAAATAACTAGACAATTCCTAAACCCTTGATCTCTAAGGGAACAAAACCGGTCCATACCGGAATTCTCGTAAATCACTAAGGAAACCAAACCGGTCCATACCGGGATAATCTGTCCCGACCACGTTCAAATCCAATTCCCAGGATGCAACTTTCACGTGCTACAAAAAATAGCTGAGACTGTCAACGAGCTTTTAGACGGCTGGGTCGAAACAGAAAACAAAAACCTTAGTTTTTGTACCATTTCACGGCATGTTTCAGTATTTTCACTCCACGAAAACGGCCGTTTCGCCCGCAGTTCGATGACAGTCCCAGCCTGTTTCCCAGGCAAACTAGTAGGCGAGGACATTTTAATCAATTTACAGTAATACTAAGGTATCTTTAAAATATTTTAGTCTACGAAATGTTATGTAATCTAAGATAAATATTTAATTTCCCGATCAATTTTTAAGAATTTAAGACTTATTATTCACTGACCCTACACTGTTAGCTAAGATCTTTAAAACTAACGTCCCCCTCCTCCCCCCAGGAAGATATACTGTTAGCTAAGATCTTTAAAACTAACGTCCCCCTCCCCCCAGGAAGATATACTGTTAGCTAAGATCTTTAAAACTAACGTCCCCCTCCTCCCCCAGGAAGATATACTGTTAGCTAAGATCTTTAAAACTAACGTCCCCCCCCCCCCCCAGGAAGATATACTGTTAGCTAAGATCTTTAAAACTAACGTCCCCCTCCTCCCCCAGGAAGATATACTGTTAGCTAAGATCTTTAAAACTAACGTCCCCCTCCTCCCCCAGGAAGATATACTGTTAGCTAAGATCTTTAAAACTAACGTCCCCCTCCCCCAGGAAGATATACTGTTAGCTAAGATCTTTAAAACTAACGTCCCCCTCCCCCCCAGGAAGATATACTGTTAGCTAAGATCTTTAAAACTAACGTCCCCCTCCCCCGCCAGGAAGATATACTGTTAGCTAAGATCTTTAAAACTAACGTCCCCCTCCTCCCCCAGGAAGATTTACTGTTAGCTAAGATCTTTAAAACTAACGTCCCCCTCCCCCGCCAGGAAGATATACTGTTAGCTAAGATCCTGACAGAGGACGGCATGATGTTCTCCAGCTACGAAATAGAAGAGCCAGTTACAGTAAATGATAAGAAGAGATACAAGGCTTTCCTGGAGAAAGCACCCAACCAAAGGATGGAGTCTTTTTATTAGATATTTAAGAGTTTATAAAAAATACCTTCCAAGACTTCAGAAATACCATTCAAATACAGATAGGTGCCCGATATTGTACCGTCGAACGAACATTTTGGAAATAAAGCGCGATTTGCAGCATAATGGAGCGGCTTTCCATGAAACTATTATTGAATCATCATGATCATGTTATAATATTAAAAATTTTAGATCGACTAAACTTCTCTTTTGCTTACAAATAAAGCATATAACAAGCTGTTAGTTTTTTAATGTGCATAATTTCATGTGTATAGTGATAGTGAACGTTGTCTTGACTCGAGTTCGCTGAACTTTACAGGATTGCTTAGTAATAGATCGATATGACTGTATGGTAATTCTCACTCGTAACGATAATTAATTATTCATTCGAATCTAGTTATTTATGTGATTTATTCATGGGATAATAGTTTTAAATTCATATAATAAAAAGTTGTTCATAATAATTTAAATAATTTATTCACCTATAATGATTGCCAGAAAACCCACAGATTTCCTGATGTTTTATTCCGAATTTTCCTTTATTTCCAGGATGTAAAGCTTAAAAAGATTTATACTATTTGATATTCAGTTATTTGTACGATACATACAATATGTTAGACTTAGCTGTTACTGTTATTTTCAAGAAGTTAAACGTAGATAATAGCAGGTAGAGACAAATTGTCATCACCACTTCACTGACCACGTGTATAATGTTCCACCACTTTTGCATAATACCAATTCTATTTTTATGTTTTTACACATTATTTATTCCTTTTTTCACTGACTGCCCAAGATTGATTTCTAAAATTCAATTATAGTAAATTTCCAATATGGTGTAGGTTTTATACTAAATTTAAAAGGGAATTTGTATATTTCATTTCGTCGTTACTTTTCATTTAAAGCAAGATTGTTTTAAACTAAATTAAAAATACCTAATAACATTCAAGTAAGGATGAATGGAATCGCCGAGGATATCTTTGATGAAGTTTGCGACCTAGATTCTATAAAAGAGTACGTCATCCCGAAGCTTTTGGACAAAGTAAGAATTTCCTAATTTTTAGATAAAATGTCAATGTTGTGGCTTTTGTTAGCAATTAGTGAGCTCTCTTGTCTCTGTTTTAGCTGCACTATCAGAGCTAGTGATCCGTTTCTGTGTCTGCTGTGACTCCCATGTGCGCCTTGGTCACCTGGGCAATGTTCGACCGGGGTCCCGGTAAAAAAAAGTGGTCCCGGTCGATCCTTGGTCCTGGGTCTCCAAGGGAGGTACACAGTGCCACATCAGGGCTGTGTTGAGGAAATTATGCAAAGATAGTTTACAGTATTCCGCTATAGCCACGCTCATTTACTTTTTACCATTTTCCTATTCTTTATTATTGTTTGGAACTATTTTCTCATTGCTTCCCTTTTTTCAGAAAATGGCAGTGCTCGATCAAACTCCTGATGGCAGAGAGATCCTTCGGTGAGTTAACATCCATTTTATTCTCAATATTATGTTAGGTGGTTTTTGTGAGGTGATGATTCTACAAAAAAACAGCCTTGCAAGAAAATTTGGCAACCTCGACATCTAACGAATAAGAAATAACCAATTTCAGATCTTGGTAAAACTTTGAGAATGTAGAAAGTCAAAATTAGTCAACAAATCACAACTTATCTAACAATAAATGTAACGTAATAAATAAACAAACAGAGACAAAAGCTACGTAACACAAGTATTACACAGCTCAGCCTACAAACTACAGAGCCGTTCCAATATTAAATAGAACATTTTATAGATTTGTAAAGTAAGCAAGCCGAATACGTGTTCCGTCACGCTAACGTAAATAACACGTACCAATTTAATGCCTTATTTGTCATGATAAAGCCTGTTACCCATATCTAGAAACCCCCAGATTTTACCCGCGATTTGACTGTATTTCCCTGACTCAGTGATACGATGAAAACATAGTCATAACAAATTTTATGACTAAACGTCACACTCCGTAACACATATCGTGCCTACTCATTTTACGGAAACACACGTATATCTCCCGAACATACCACTCAGCTGACACATATCACGTCACGTGACATGTGCCATGTTTACACTATGATAACACTGACCTAGACAGCTAGCACTCAGTTCGGGTTCTGTAGTTTCCAGATGGGAGGTAGACCAGGAGAGAAAGTCTTGTGTTGTTAATCTTGAGCTGAGTGTTAGTGTTGTTGTTAGTGTTTTTAATTTTGTTGTTAGTGGTGTTGTTAATGTTGTCTTCTGGGTTGTACAATCTGGAGGCAACTCGCGCCAAGTCTTACGGAAGATACGATGATCCGTAAGTTTGGGTAGCTTATTAGGTAGATGACATTTTGTCAATGTTAACAAAAATGATCTGGAATTTGGAGAAAACTTTTGTAAAGATAGCAGATTTTCAAAATCTCAGATTTTGGTAAATCGATGTTTTTAAAAAAACAAACGTTTCAATTTATTTTAGCGTATTGTAGAGGAACAAATGTTTGTCCGCACTCCCACAATCTAACCTGGAAGAACAACTGAGTATAAGAGATCTAATTTCAGAAACGTTAAGCCTCAAGTTGAGATAACAAGGAAGTTCTGTCCTGACGTTAGGAGAACGTCATCTTATCCGGACATTACCAAACACCCAGGTAACTTATCCGGACATTACCAAACACCCAGGTAACTTATCCGGACATTACCAAACACCCAGGTAACTTATCCGGACATTACCAAACACCCAGGTAACTTATCCGGACATAAAAAAACACCCAGGTAACTTATCCGGACATTACCAAACACCCAGGTAACTTATCCGGACATTACCAAACACCCAGGTAACTTATCCGGACATTACCAAACACCCAGGTAACTTATCCGGACATTACCAAACACCCAGGTAACTTATCCGGACATTACCAAACACCCAGGTAACTTATCCGGACATTACCAAACACCCAGGTAACTTATCCGGACATTACCAAACACCCAGGTAACTTATCCGGACATTACCAAACACCCAGGTAACTTATCCGGACATTACCAAACACCCAGGTAACTTATCCGGACATTACCAAACACCCAGGTAACTTATCCGGACATTACCAAACACCCAGGTAACTTATCCGGACATTACCAAACACCCAGGTAACTTATCCGGACATTACCAAACACCCAGGTAACTTATCCGGACATTACCAAACACCCAGGTAACTTATCCGGACATTACCAAACACCCAGGTAACTTTTCGGACATTACCAAACACCCAGGTAACTTATCCGGACATTAACAAACACCCAGGTAACTTATCCGGACATTACCAAACACCCAGGTAACTTATCCGGACATTACCAAACACCCAGGTAACTTTTTCGGACATTACCAAACACCCAGGTAACTTAACCGGACATTAACAAACACCCAGGTAACTTATCCGGACATTACCAAACACCCAGGTAACTTATCCGGACATTACCAAACACCCAGGTAACTTATCCGGATATTACCAAACACCCAGGTAACTTATCCGGACATAACCAAACACCCAGGTAACTTATCCGGACATTACCAAACACCCAGGTAACTTATCCGGACAGATGTATATCGTCTCTTTGGGTCACATGTTAATGAACCACAAACAAACATCTGTTAAGATCTCGTCTTTTATAGCATTCGATTTTCTCCAAACCTTTGATAATCCTCTTGGGTCAAAGCCGACAGGTCATTAGCTGGGAGCTTAACGTCAAAAAACATCCCAGATAACGTTAGTGAAACCGAACTGAAATTACAAAAACAGAGAATAGTTAACACTGAACTGAAAAGATTACTCATCGCATCTGTCGGGGACACTTTAGCTAACAAGTTAGACATGTTATTTTAAAATTTATATTGTGCTATTTTTACAGCCTTTCGACTCAATATGAAAGAAGATTCAAGCTAATAAGTAAATTTGGTTGAAGATTTTTAAAGATTCAATTTGTTATCATATTTGATACAGAGTTCGGTGTCTATAACATTTCAACTGATTTCAGGTTAGAAAAATTAGGAAAAGAGAAGGCACACCTTAACGAGCAACTTAACATACTCACGAAACAAACAGCTCTAGATGCAGAGAGAATAGAAAATTTGGTCATTCAGGGAGACATCTGGAAATCTAAATTCTTAGCAACTAGGTATGTCCATACTTCATCATTCATGTTTGGAAAAGCTATAAATTAATTCCGTCTTTCTTTCAGACTTCGTTCAAATTTTCTTCTAATACTGTGAATTTCGCCACAGAGTGGTGGTCAATGAGCTGACTGTATGGAAAGACGCTGTCACCACAAAACTTCACGAAACTCAACAAACTTTGAAACAGTTTGAGGAACACAGTAAACGCATATACTACACTTTACACCAGGCAGATAGGTACTATATATTCTAGTGTAGAGTCGTTCCTTTTGTCGGTTAACTAGTTACAGCCGCCTGGTTTCATCTTGTAAATCCAAATATTTGGCAACACATTGTAGATTGATATCATCTCGTATATTTATATCTCATCGTCAAATGAACGTTTAGTATACAACGTGGCATATTATTAGTTGAAGAGTAAGATTTTTATGTAACTCAAGTGCTATGTTGTATGTGATCAATGGCGGTCCAACTCAGTTGTAACGACGTAGCGCGCTTAAACATTTACAGAATCAAAGTGTCTATATTTTCGCGCAAATTTGAGCGCGCGTTCCAAAATAACGCGCGTGGATAACAATTGACTGACATGACACGCAAAAACTTTTAGGACACTAGCCACAACAATTGTCGAGATAGACCCGGCGGTAAAACACGATGACTTCGTTCTCCAGGTATGTTGTAAACCTTTCAATTTTGTATTCTAGGCAGGACAATTTCCAGGAAGGCAGTATCAAAGAAGCCCGGGGTAAAAGTTATTGTAGACAACATTTTTGAGTAATGGTTAATATTTCTAAAGTGTACCCTAACCCTTAGCGCCAACCCTAAAATGTTATCTATAATAATGCCGGCTCGTAACAGTTGGCGATGTTAAATTTATGATTCTCTTACAATAAAATGTTTACCAGAGATTGAAAGATGCGAGTAGGTGTATAGCAGAATTATTGACACACCACTCTACGGAATTGTACAACTTCAACCAAGTGAGATTTATGTTATAGTAAATAATTCTTGCTATATTTTCTGTCGGTTTATCTTTGTTTCTATCTTTGTTGTTCTATATTTTCTTTTCTCGAAGGTTGACTTCAAATGTGAATGTTTAAGGCAATTTTGCAACATTTTCAAGAATTTTTTATTTTTCAGTTGAGTGATTTACCGTCTGAACCTCCCACGACACCGAACATGTACACAGACTCACAGCACTACGATTACTCTGAAATACCAGACCGACTCTGCGACACGGAATGCTGCAATCATTCTATTGAAGGAAGCTGTTCTAATGGGAAACTAAACGGTTTCAATTCAGACAAATCTTCGGATTTCCAAAAGTGTAGTACTGTATCAGAGACAAATTCGATCCCAAACAATCATACTTGTAGAGAAATGAGTGGTAATCTAACTCGTAGTTATACGGGGTGCAAAAAAACTATGTTCGTGGGAGGTTGCAAGTCGTGCGCAGAAAAAGATATAATTCATTTGTAGTTCAGCTTTAGTTTCAGGTTTTAAAATTCTGTTAGGTTTGTTTTACTTTTTAGGTACATTTTAACGAAACTAAACTTATGGTCCTATGGAAATGGGTATGGAATATTAGATACTAAGTTCGTGGCTGGCTTTTAATGTTGACGCTGGTTACCTTATTTATTTAAACTCTTGATTTGTTTATCATAAAAATGGGATATGAATAAATGTTTAATTGCATGAATTTGATATTTGCTTAATGCTTATGAACAATTTTAATTTTTTGCTAAACGCTTAGCCTCCCGAAATGGGCCATTTATTATTAACCATAATCTGAAATTTAATATTCGATTTAACTCATACAGTTCGTACAATTAAATAAATAGAAATACATTTTCCCTGTTATTATTGACAAAGGTAAAAGTTCTATCACAAATTAATGTTAGATACAATTTTAAGGATGTTAAATATGAATCTTATTAAGAATTCATGCATGATATTTTTGTGGTATGGGGTCGTTCACATATTACGTAATCATTTTTTGGATCATTTTCACCCCCCCCCCCCTCCATAATCATTACGTAATATGTGAACGACCCCTATACATTTAATTTTCTTGGGTTTTTCAATTTGCTGTAATTTGATTATAGTTGTTTTAATTTGATGCATTAAATCGTGGTTGTTATTTCTACATAATGTAATGTGGACAAGTACTTTCATGATAAGCTCATCAGAAAGAGAAAGAGAAAGAGAAAGAGAAAGAGAAAGAGAAAGAGACTTAACTTATGTCGGTATAGAGGGTCGTGTTAGTGATCTTGCTAGAAAGTTAGATGAAATCATTGTGGTACCCCAGTATAACTATAATAGCACGTATTAAGAGACGATCCACGCTTTGTATCTAGAAACTAAAACATGTTTCTCAATTTGGTCTCATACCATCCTCAGTTAACTGAATAATTGATCGCTGGGCAAAAAGTCTTGCATGATTGGTACATTGATATCGTTTGATTAAAATGAATTGTGAATGCTTTTTTTTCACTAGCTTTTATCGACCAAGGAAGGTCTTGACTCTTATTAAAACTGTAGATGACAGATATGATTTGGCTCATGATGTGTAACTAATTAAATTAATATCGTACGATTCTCTAATGAAGAAATAATCTTTATTCAGTAAGTATCACACTGTAGCTGCACACAAATGATGCACGATGCTAGCTTGGCGCACCACGCACAGTTAGGAAATCACTTGAGACCACCATAATCAGTCTACTAACACTTACGGTACGTGGGGCAGTAAAGTGAGAGTTATACAATATACATTATATAATATATATATTGACCCCTTAAATATGAAAACCAAGGAACAAAATCTCTTGCCGGCGCTTCTGAGAGGGAAATAATTTGTCTATGGTCAATGGGTTAATCGTCGATTACCCCTCTGAAAACAATGCACGCATGCAACAGACGTAGTCCAGGTAAAGTGGGGGTTTAGAACTGCCTGTGTTTTATTCATTAGAAGAGGCTGGTTGTTGCTCACGTGACACACACAGCACGTGACACACAGGATATAGAAGGTGCTCTTGTTGTGAATCGGCACACTGCAGCTCAGCCATTTATAAATGCGTTGTGCTGAAATGAAGGTACTGAACCATCGAATGAACTCTTATCGAATCTTGTAATATCGATCAACCGTCTAGAATCGACTCGTCTTGGATAGACTTGTCTCGAATAAACTCGTCTCGAATAGACTTGTCTCCACTCGTATCAAATCGTTTAGAATCGATTCGTCTTGACTTAAATCGTGTCGTCTCGGATCGACTCGTTTTATTTTTGGATTTAATGATATTGATATTTATATAATTCATCATTCATTAATTTAGGCTAAGCCGCGAAGTGGCGAAATATTGCAAAAATTTCCAAATTTGACCACCGAATTAATGATTAAGTTTGTTTTTTTTTCCAAATCATGGCAGTCTTTATTACTATACATTAACATAAATGTTGAAACCGTATGTTTTCCCATGATAAATTAGATAGATGCACAGTAGGAACAATTTGTGTTTCGTTTCTCCTCTGCCTAGGATAAAAATTTGTTATTGGGCGGCGCTCAGCCTGTCATTCCGCCGAATCTTTATTTTTGAACATTAATATTATAGCCAGATTTTTATCGATTCATCTTTTTATTTTACAAAAGACTCTTATTTTATTTTTACATATTATTCTTTACCTGGGGACCTCAGGCTATTATGTTTAGGCGGAATGACAGGCTGAGCGCGGCCCAGTAAATTATTCTGAGTACGGTATTCAGATTCTTTTTAAGCTTATTCAAAATTTACAATTGAACTATATTTAAATTTGGTTTCAGGCTTAGTACCCATTAGTTCTTTTGTGGATGAGTTCAGTACATTTGTTAAATTCAATAAACAAGCCTTAACCAATACCATTATCCCGTAGCTCTTCTGAAAATGCCAATAAAGACATTGTACCTGATTCTCCTCCTATACGGGATAGAAGGTAAGCACTTAGATTTGTTAAATAATATTTTAGATACCTTATCCGTATCGGACTTTATTTGAACGGAAATTAATTTGATTGGACGCTGGAGCCTGGAGGCACTAGCGTTGATTTTAAGTCCGTTCGAATTTATTCCGTCAAGCTAGGTAGTTAAATTAAATACACTAGCTGAATATCAATACCTTCGAGCGGAAAGGAGGATAAAACTGGTTGTGACTTGTGGTGAGCATTAAAAATTAACCTGTTATTTTATAGTTGTTACTTACTTAAGGGGAGATACACCGAAAACGTTTTTGCTCCGAACATCGATTTTATTTTATATTATGGTTAAATAGAAGAAAAAAAATTCAAGAAAGACTGCTGTAATCATTGAATCTGGATATTGCCGTTTAACTTTAAAATCTGATATGATAGTTGATCATATCGGGTTGTTCACATACTACGTAATCAGCCGTGGGGGGAGGGGGTTCCAAATGATTACGCTAATGCATAATGCAACACATTGCAATGTGTAAAACTGATTACGGGGGGGGGCGCCGCCCCCGGGGGCGGGTTAGAAATTGTCCAAAAAGTGATTACGTAATATTATGTGAACGACCTATTATATCAAGAACAGTAAAACCTATTTAAGGGGAGATACACCAAAAACGTTTTTGCTCCGAACATCGATTTCATTTTATATTATGGTTAAATAGACAAAAAGAATAAGATTGCACACCTTCAAAATTTTCTAAAAATATTCCCTCATCGAGAAAAAAAATATTTTTCTTTTTCGAAAATTTTTAAATTTTGAGAAGTCTGTCACTATGTGCACTGTAAGTGTAATACCGATAGTTCAGCCATTTTAAAATTTTTTCGGCTGATTATTTTACTGAACATTACTTACAATCCGTACAAGGAGCCATTGAAAGGATTATATAATTGAACGATAAATGCCGAAGGTACAGACCAAACAAGGTCGAACAAATAAAAATTGAAATTTTTCCCACTTCTAAAGTTGTACATTTCACCAATCACCCGGGTCACCAGATATCGCTTCAAAAATTCTTGTGAGTGTAGCTGATGATCATATCAAACTTTTTGGAGTAGGATTTCTCTCAGATTTGAGTTTTAAGCTATGCAATGTGGCCACAAACGACTTAGTAAAATTCATCGTAAAAAAGGACAAAAAAGGCAGATTTAAGGCTTAAAATGGCTATAACTAGGGGGTGCACGATAAAAATAAACTTGCTCGGATTTTAAAAATTTTTGTACCACTGTTTTCTAGAGACTGTGAGAATTTTCACAATACCAAATTTTTCATACCTTTTTGGAAAGATCAGTGAGTTTCGCCTAGGTGCCATATTTGATGGTGCGCGGCTTTTGGAGCAAAAATAGCTGTAAAAGTCGCGTAATTTGACCAAATTCGTCCAAATTTGACCATTTTTGTCGTATTATTCGGATTTATTTTCAGTTTCTTAATTGAAATCATTCTGGAAATTGGCGACGACCTTCTAATAGGGCTTTCACAACTGTCCGAAAAATTTGGTGGATATCGGAGTTGATTTAGTGATCAAAATGGGGCAAAATACGCTGCTTTTAGCTGTAACATAATGTCTGATGGTTGGATATGCTTTAAATTTTTCGGACACTTTCCTTGTAAGTCTATGAGTAAGCTTACCAATTTTTGTTGCAATTGGAGGTCGGGAAGGATACTCAATATCTATTTGTTTGAAGAAAATTGTGCTGGCCGAAATTAGCGCTAAAAGTAAAATTAAAAAACCATCCTACAGTCGGCACGCGCGGCTCACTGTCGATGGCGCACTACCTACTATAACTCAAAAAGTATAATCAGTTTTTTTGAAATAATTTTTACAGAATCGTAATCAGCTTGGTAAGACGAATCTTTTAGTACGACATTTATAATATTTAAAGACACAAAATTTGTAAAAAAATGTGTACAATTTGTACAATATTTATACAAATTTATTGTATAATTTTCGAGCTAGAAAATTATTTAAAACAATTTGTCTTCTAAAAGCACCTATTTGGTACTAAAAGATTCGTCTTACCAAGCTGATTACGATTCTGTAAAAATTATTTCAAAAAAACTGATAATTTTTGAGTTACAGTCATTTTAAGCCTTAAATCTGCTTTTTTTGCCCTTTTTTACGATGAATTTTACTAAGTCGTTTGTGGCCACATTGCATAGCTTAAAACTCAAATCTGAGAGAAATCCTACTCCAAAAAGTTTGATATGATCATCAGCTACACTCACAAGAATTTTTGAAGCGATATCTGCTGACCCGGGTGATTGGTGAAATGTACAACTTTAGCAGTGGGAAAAATTTCAATTTTTATTTGTTCGACCTTGTTTGGTCTGTACCTTCGTCATTTAGCGTTCAATTATATAATCCTATCAATGGCTTCTTGTACGGATTGTAAGTAATGGTCAGTAAAATAATCAGCCGAAAAAATTTTAAAATGGCCGAACTATCGGTATTTTTAAATTTAAAAAATTTTCGAAAAAGAAAAATTTTTTTTCTCGATGAGGGAATATTTTAAAAAAATTTTGAAGGTGTGCAATCTTATTCTTTTTGTCTATTTAACCATAACATAAAATAAAATCGATGTTCGGAGCTTTTTGGACAATTTCTAACCCCCCCCCCCCCCCCCCCCGTAATCAGTTTTACACATTGCAATGTGTTGCATTAGCGTAATCATTTGGAACCCCCTCCCCCCACGGCTGATTACGTAATATGTAAACAACCCGATATGATCAACTATCATATCAGATTTTAAAGTTAAACGGCAATATCCAGATTCAATGATTACAGCAGTCTTTCTTGAATAATCCTTGACCTGAAGATTTGCCAACAGTTTATGCTGTATAAATATTGAATACTGGCCTTTGATTTTAGCTGGTAAATTTAGGACCTAAAGCATAAATAAACCTATGTGAGCAGGGACAAAAGGATTTCGCGATTATTTTACATGACGCGATTTTCTTTTGTCCCTGTATGTGAGGCGTGAGCTAGTTTTAGAGGACCATTGGCTGAGCATAATTCTATCTGTAATGCGTAGCTAAAGGTTCGTCTTCACAAGATTTTGCTGTCAGAGTAGCTGCACTACAGAATTGTACGTCGAATCTTCAAGAAAGTGCATGGTCTATAGATG